CAGCAGCAGCAGCAGCAGCAGCAGCAGCAGGAGCTGGACTCGGACTGGGTTTCCCGGGAGCTGCTTGAGCTGGAGATACACCCGAGCAGCTGCTTCAACTATCTGCCGCTGCAGCAGCAAACGAAAGGAGACACTTTGCTGCAGCTGAGAGACATTCTGTGGGGTTTTCTTTGGCCAGTTTTCCATTATTTGTTTTAATTATCATTATTAGTATTATTTTATTAATTATTATTATTGTTTTATTATCGCTCTTTATTGGTTTATTGTTAGTGTGTTTATTTGTTGATGCTTGTGTGGTGCTGCTGCTGCTGCTGCTGCTGCTGCTGTGTAGCAGCTGAATTTGAGTGTCTCTTTTTCTGTTTGTTTTTGTGTCTCCTTTTCGTTTTGCTTTTCCCTTTTCCTATTCTCCTTGTGTCTGCTGCTCACTTTTGATTCGGCTCTGCTGCTGCTGCTGCTGCTGCTGCTGCTGCAGTTGCTGTTTGAGCGGTCTCGGTGTCTCCAAGGAGGAGCAGCAGCTGCTGCTGCGGCTGCTTGCTGCGCTGCTGCACCTGGGGAACATAACCTTCGAGTCAGCTGCAGCAGCGGTAGCAGCAGCAGCAGCAGCGGGGGCAGCAGCAGGAACAGCAGCAGCGGCAGCAGAAGCAGCAGCAGCAACACAAGCAGCAGCAGCTTCTCCCGCGAGCAGCAGCGCTACGCCATCGAGCGCAGCTGCTGCTGCGGCTGCTGCTGCTGCAGCTGCTGCTGCCGGCGACGGCGACGCTGCTGTCGTGTCTGCCTCTGCTGCTGCTGCTGCTGCTGCTGCTGCTCGGCTGCTGGGAGTGGAAGCAAAGTTGCTGCTGCTGAAATTAACAAAAAAAGAAATCCGAGATATCTACAGACCCCTCAAAGTCTCCGAAGCAAATTTGAACAGAGACGCACTTGTTAAGGTAATAATAAATAAATAAATAAATAAATAAATAAATAAATAATAAATAATAAATAAATAAGAAATAAATAAATAAACAAATAATAACTGGATGCTTAGGGTGCCGTGTGAGCAGCAGCAGCTAGCAGCAGGGAAGAGACAAAAGCAGCAGCAGCAGCAGCAGCAACAGCAGCAGCAGCAGGAGACACAAAACAGAAGCAAAATTAATACGGCCAAAGCTAAGGGCAGCCGGCACCAGCGGCTTTTGCTGCCGCTGCTGCTGCCGCTGCTGCTGCTGCTGCTGCCTCTGCTTCTATTTCTGTTGCTGCTGCTGCTGCTGCTGATTTGGAATTAGTTGAGTTTAAAAAATAAAAAATGCTGCCTCTTGGGTGTATCCGCAGACACTCTACAGCCGAATATTTGACTTTTTGGTTGCCAAGATCAACAGCTCTTTAAACCCCACAGCAGCAGCAGCAGCAGCAGCAGCACCAGCAGCAGCAGCAGCAGCAGCACCGACAGCGGCAGCAGCAGCAGCGGCAACAGCAGCAGCAGCAGGTACGGCTGCCCCTCGTGTCTTCAGCCACTCAGTGTCTGTTTCTCCCTTTTGTCCCCAGCGCAGCCAGCAACAGCAGCAGCAGCAGCAGCAACAGCAGCAGCAGCAACAGCAGCAGCAGCAGCAACAGCAGCAGCAGCAGCAGCAGCAGCAGTTGCTGATTTGTGCGTCAGGGGAAGAGCCGCAGTGTTTGGGCATTCTCGACATATTTGGTTTTGAGGATCTGGTGAGTTTTTCTTTTTTTTAATTTTAATTATTTTTTTAATTTATTTTATTTTATGTTTTCAATTTGTTTTGCTTTTTTATCTCTTTATTTCTTTTAGCTTTTTATTTTTCTCATTTCATCCTTTTTGCTTTCTTCTCTCTTTTTTAATTTATTTCTTTTTGTTTTTTTTAATTCTTTTCGACTTTTATTTATTTCTTTTTGTCTTTATTATTTTTTTTATTTTTTGTTTTATCCCTTAGGGTTTAGGCTTGAAGGTTTAGGGTTTAAGGTCCAGTAGGGTTCAGGGTTTAGGGTTTAGGGTTTAGGGTTTAGGGTTTAAGGTTTAGAGCTGAGGGTTAAGGGTTTAGGGTTTAGGGTTTAGGGTTTAGGGTTTAGGGTTTAGGGTTTGTGG